CTTTTAAAAGAAATGTTGGAGTAGATCAACTCCTGCCAGTACTTCTCTAGAATAAATGATAACAACAAAAATGGGTAGCATTTTTGCCAACCAAACTATCACTCTTGGGTTAAAATTTTGCAATTTGATGGTTCAACTTTAATTATAGCTTAATTATTTAATCCTTAATCAATTGAAATTATTCAAGCGCGTCATTGTCACGGATGACTAAAAAATAATTTTCATCTTTGTACTCTTTCTTGATAAGGATTCGTTTTTCCAAATATGAGATCTAGTGCTCATCTCTCACTAACCTTTTCCTTATCGTGGATTTTGACCTAAGCAAAATAGAACATATTTTGCCTTAAAAATATGGGCAATTAATGTACCTATTAGCTAAGCATATAGCCTAATACAAGAATGTTGAGAGCATAACTTGTTTTGGATGAAAAGGAATCATGGTATTAAATCTAGCATCATTAATGGCTATAGCCTACTCATGATTGTGGGGCTCGCATTATGCCCTAATTAAATAAATTAATCAAAATTAATTAGACCGAGATTGGGTAACCTTTTTCTTAATTTACATTTTCTTTAGGTGGGATTTGTTTGGTAAATAAACAAAAGAGGTCTAATAAAATATGGTATCCTTGGAGATAATTGGGATTGTCAAAGGAGAATAATTTAAGTAGTAATCTGTTGTCAAATGGCACATGGCACATATCAATAAGAGGTTTTGGTTTTGGGTGGTGCATTGCACATTGGAATCCCAATCCAAATATATTAATTTATTGAAAACTTATTTTGTAGTCTAAATTGTATTAGATTATAAAATAATTATCATTAGACTAGGAGAGGGCCCTAATATCAAACTCCCCTCCTTTATTCAAGGGTCTAATTTTGTAGTTTGCAATAATTTAAACCGTAAAATATAAATTTCTTAATTTATATATTCACATAAAAATAATTCTATAATTTAAGAGTAATACATCTCTAATTTATTTTACTTAACACAATATGTTAAAATTTTATTTAAATATTTAACCTTAATCTCAAATTAAGATTTCTAACTTGTAATTTACTCATTTTGTCTTAGAATAACATATGTTTTTTTTAAATTTTATTTCTAAATTAAGAATTTGAGGATGATTTCTATTTTTATTTTTCCTTGAAAACTAAATAATTATTTTAATCAAATGATGAATAATTAAAGTTGAAAGATAATTGACAAGGTTAAAGTGTGAAAAGAAAATTTTTTTTTCTCCTTTAAAAAAAGAAAAAGTACTATTACTCTAATATAACTTCTAGATTACAAAACATCTATTATTTGGTATAGTGAGAGTAAATAAGTAGGTATCACCACTTTTGTTGGTCTAACTGTCATTATAATTAGTTATTTTTACTTGATGAAGTTTGTGAATTGATATACACTTAATAATTCAATTTATTGATAAATGAATATTGTAAAATTATATAAAAATTATTGTATAATTTATATTGCATCAAATAACACAACAATGATTGTTGGATAAGGAGCAGGTTAATTATCCTATATTAAGCGCTTTTTTTATCCAACCATTTATATTTTGCAATTTAAATTTAAAATAGATAACTCAAATTAGAGTGTATATGAATGAGTAGTTCTTCAAAATCAAAATCCTTTACACAAACCCTGTCAAGA